CAGTTCAATGACGAAAAATTAGGTGTCTATTTACTTGTGACCACTCAGTGTATGTTCTGTTGAAGATAAAAAGAAAATAGTGTGTTGCTAAACATCCTGTCACTGTTGGTAATCAGAAAACAAGGTTCCGTGTTTATTCCGTTGACAAGGCTGATGTAAGGATAGCCTGACATACAGGAAGAGAGTTAACGTACAAAGATCCAGATTGATTGGAACATTGCATTGATTCTGAAGCCAAAAGTAACACTATATATTATATTAATGTCGATATACAAAAACACGGTGAAAATGAAACTCCTCCTATTGTATTAGTGATGACGTTCAAAGATACATTATAGTAATATTGACTCCAACGTGTACAAGTAAAGAAAAACAGGAACTAAATGTAGGAATGGCTAATATCAATCCTTAAAAAACAATGCGAACAAGACAGTGGGATTGATATTTACATCAACCCTACATAATAGCGCACGCACACAGTGTAGTAGAATGTTAACAGACAAAAATAGGATAAATTAAACTCAATGGTGATTGAATAATTGTATATATTACTATATGTTAATTCTTGCCTGTGGTATTATGTAGGGATGATCCAAATGTCATCCCTACTATTTTGTTTGCAACGATTTTGAACGATTGATACATTTACTTCCTTTTTTGAAATGTTTTTCTTTATTTGTTCGCTTGTTGTTGTTGTTGTTTTCAATGCAGTGTTTCAGTAGACATAGGAAGGTTGTACTTATAACCAAGTTCTAAATACAATGAGGTTCCAACTGTGATATTTATTGTTTATCTATTATTAGGGCCCGGCATGGCTAGGTGATTAGGGTGCTCGACTCGCAATCTACGAGTCGCGGGTTCGAATCCCGGTCACACCAAATATGCTCGCCCTTTCAGCCGTGGGGGCATTATAATGTGACGGTCAATCCAACTATTCCTTGGTAAAAGAGTAGCCCAAGAGTTGGCGAAGAGTGGTGATGACTAGCTGTCTTCCCTCTAGTCTTACACTGCTAGATTATGGACGGCTAGAGCAGATATCCCTCGTGTAGCTTTGAGCAAAATACAAAACAAACAAACAATATGTTATTAACTGGTTATTCCTGCTTCACCCTGTACTTAAGCTTTTTAAAGCAACGCCAACTTTCTGCAAGAAAGCTAAGTGCAATGTGTAATGATAAAATCGTTTACACTAGAATTATGATTTTTAAATTACTACTAGTTATTAATAATAATAATTATAAAAGCGGATACTCCGTTTGAAACTATGTCACCTCAGTGAATTTGACACCATTGTTTTGGTTTTTGAATTATCATGTACTAAAAAAGGAGATGAAGAAAGAAGAACAAGAAATTCAAACTTTTTGCTATGATATTTACAGACATTCCCAAAGCTTTTGACTCATTTATTACATAGATATTGTTATAAAAGGAAACACTGTAGAGTATTGTAAAGTTCTGATGATCTATTGAGGAAATATTTAAAATACCATTTCGAAGAACAATCCGAGCCACCCTTAAATACGAAGTGCTACCGCTCCCTGATAGTGGAATTCAACACTATTTCACACATCTTGGAAATTGTTAGGTTAAGCATTTATAAGCGCGCGCGTGTGCATAATATACACAGCGTTTGTATTTTGAAGCTTAGATACGTCTATTTTTTTTGTTTTGTTTTTTGGGTGTGTGGAATTTTTCATGAAAATGTACAATAAATATGTTAGAGCTTTCACCATATATCAGTGCTTTTACCGTACACGTATATCCATTCTACTGGAATGCTGATTCGTCTCAGCCTGTTGTGTAAAATATTGTTACGTATCTGCTTGTTTGTTAATTTCCGGTATAAATTCTTTACGAGGAACTTCAGCGATACAAGTCCCTTCTTGATCAAAACTAGTTTATTCTTTCTTGATACAACTTTGTAATACACAGAATTTCCACAGTCACTTTAAACTGAACAACCTTTATAACATACGCTATAAATCACAGTGATTCGCACACTTTACTTACGGTA